TTTTTTTTTTTAAATTGCATAAGATATTTCATTTTCGATAAATTGCAATAATGTTTTTGTAGTAACATAGAAACTTATTGTTTCTAGAACTGAAGTATGTATGTTTTAGATACAGGGTAACTGAATAAAGTTATTTTTCACAGGACTGGAAGCGAGAGCCGCTGAAATTCTCCTTCCACCTATTTCCGGTGGCACAGCAGGCGAGTTAGATTGTATTCTGTGCTGTCGACTCTTATGGAAACCCGTGACAACACCATGCGGGCACACGTATTGCTGGATGTGTTTGGATCGATGCTTGGATTACTCATCTGCCTGCCCTTTGTGTGTCACATCTCTTGCCGATGTAAGGATTGCGTTCAATCATTGTAATCAATGTAATAGTTTTTGCAAAATCAAGCCGCGTTAAAATTCCAGTCCTTATATCTTCTTTACATATTGATATTCTTCGAGAACTAGTTTGATGCGGTGCTGTGTAACAGCAGATACGAAAGAGTCGTGCGACAAGTTGCCTCGAGATTCACATTCCGTGGGACAGGAGAAGCTCAGAACATGAAAACACCTGTCCATAAATGAGATATAATGCTTCCTAGCGGTTAACGATGCTGCAGATTGAAATGATTATTGTTTGCGGTCACCATGGCCGCCGTTAGGAGCTTCCGCGTTCGTGGCGTCATTATCAATTGTCCCTGCCAGCATCGTCGTTAATGACGTTAAATAAATTTTGCGGCTCGCAATCCTGTATCTTTCCCGGGCCCCCCCTCTGCCTCTTCGTATTACGTTACATTATTACACAACGCTTCGACACCGTTATTCTCGCGTTGTTCCTGCTTCTTTCCTTTACACTCTTCCTTCATTCTTCACGCGTTGCTTAAATTTCGCTTCTTTTTGCTCAATCATTGATACGATCCACGAGAAATATCTTCTTATATTCATGCAAGAAATTCTTTAACGAAGTAGGTACGTCTGTATGGAATTAAATAAACTTTCGTTCTCGAAACTTGTAATTCAGAGTGGCAAATGGAATTGAAAGAAACGCTCTAGACGTTTTTTTCTTTTTTTTTTTTTATAATTTAGAACTGTCACAGATCGATGATAATCTCATTTCAATTTTTTATTATCCATTAGATAGACTGTTGCCACATGTAAATCAGATTTAGATAGAAAATTATTTTGTCCATTAAATATTACAATGAGTACTGTGCAAAGAATATTTCATTTATCCTTCGTTACGTGCATTTTTTGCATCTTCAAATTCTCCGAATATTCTAATAGTCTAATCGCCTGACATGAATACATTACCAGCCAATAAGAAATCTGTAATTTCTCACCCGAATTAACACATAATTCATATCGCAACAATCATAATAAGTATAATTTCGTACATTCTCATACTCCTTCGCGTAAAGCTGAACATCTTCAACCCTGAACAATGTCAACATTCGACTCATTTCTGTGGATTTCAAAACCACACAAACGGAGCACCCTCTGAGACAGCGTTATTTGTTATTAATGCGAGTGCTCGAGGCCAGATAATCTGGAAAGTTGTCGCGAAATAGAGAGAGAGAGAGAGGAAGGCGCGGAGAAATCCTCATGAAAAAGTCACGAAAGTCTCGGCTCATCGAGATGTTGAAGGCATCACTCGAGAAGGACGACCGCGAGGCTTCTGGTCGACTTAGCAGCGTGTCCTTTGGTTTTTCAGTACTTGGCCAGCAGCCAGAAGACAGTGACAGACTTCGTGGAGAGGGCTTTGAAGACGGTGGCACCGGCGGAATATGCCTCGAGGGCAGCCAGCCACCGATTAGAACTAGTCCAGGGACTTGGCCTCCTGGGCAGCGAGCAGATAGCGGTTTTTGTTTGCACCACGGCGTTTCCATGCGTTGCTTGCCCCCTGTTCGTTTACGAGCCAAGATACAGGCTGATGGTTAGGAGATGCGTGGAAAGTGGCGTCCGTCAGTTTGGGATCGCCGCGTGTCTCAACAGAGAAGCCACAGGAACTAAAAGGTAATTAAACATGCAATGAAACATCGTTCTTTTAGCATACGCTAATATTTTTTATGAGATGCATTTTTTTCTTCTTCTAGTAATATGCAATGTGCGTTTTCATCTTGAAAAGTTTTTAAGATTTTTTTTTTTTTTTTCATGATGCATAGTGATGTATCTAGTAGCATAGAATACAAATTTTGTTTTTTTAGCTCAGAAAGTTCCAAAATATTACACGCGAAAGAAATAGTGATTACTTTCTAGCTTAGACAATTTAAAAATTGTTTAAAAAGGGAAATGGAGATTTTTAAATTTATAGGAATGATATATGGTTAGACAATAATGTGAAAGAATTCCATGTGAAATGAGCTGTATAAAACAAAATACCACAGACAAATACAATAAAAGTTATGTATAAATGTTTAGTGGTATATAAAAATTATATTTTAAATATATAATAAATATATTCGTAAATATAGAAAGTCATCGTTTGTATTACTATCCTATTCAACGTTATTAGCATCTTGTTTGTGACAATTATATTTATTAGTATTGTGATATGTAGCGTGATGAATTATTTATTGTTATTAGTGCATAGTAATAGTAGCGTGATGAATTATTTATTATTGTTGTTGCATGGTAAAATGTTAATACTTAAGTTTTTCTTTTAGAGTGTAATACGTGTCAATTTGTATGAATATTAAGTTAAAGAATTAATAATGAAGCTAGTAGGAGAAAGATCAGCTCGATTTCGAGTATTACATTGTATAAATATAATACTGTTCTTTTCCGGACAGCTTGATAAAAAAAATGCAAAAACGTGTAGATATTCGATAATTTTATACAATTAAATTTATTATATTAAGAGGCTAAGAAGTATCATACTATTAATATGTATCTCTCTCTTAATATGTAAAGCTCCTGAGTATTTTTTAATTTATTAACTTGCTTTAATTTCGATTTTTTTAATTGTTGTAAATGTTGTGATTCATGGACGTATGGAAATTTTGTTTCCTGGATTAAGGATATTAGATAACGTTTGCTAGATTACATTTGTTAATCATGTATTTATGTAAATGAAATACAGTTTGCAATATTTCGAAGTACAAATTGTAGTTAAAAGAGTATTTAAAATTCTAATAAACTCTGTGTATATATTCTTTTCAGAAAAAAACTTTCTAATGATAGATCATCACTTAGACTGTGTTACAAAGTATCAATCTTTTAATAGACGACATAATATTATTCGAAAAGATAAGATTTCTTGTTTCTTTATATTGAAACAAGAAAAGACTTATTTTTCGACGATTGCCAGTGTTGAAATAGCTTAGTCGATCGAACTTTGAACTATTGTCCGTAATTTATAGTTGAAAAATATTCGTTGTAAAGTTCGTTTAAAATTTTAAAATTCCTTTAATATATTGAAAAATTAATTTTAATTGCGACTCGTTCTCTGGGAGGACTATTCTATTCTTAAAAATAAATTATATGATTAAACGATAAAAATTCAAATTGCTTAACATCTTTATTTGTTTAACAGATACGCGGAATACGGCACTATGCTCGAGATTCGGGACAGAGTGCTGCTGAAAGATGGTTGCAGCATTCTGAGCACAGTCGGTGGCAGAAGATTCAGGGTTCTCTCTGGAGGAGAAAGGGATGGTTATGATACGGCTCAAGTAGAATTCCTGAGGGACACGATAGTTCAGGAGGATCAACTGTTGAATCTCTTAGAGCTTCACGACAAGGTGAAACATCAATAATCAATCATAGTTAATAAATTACCACTCGAAGATTTACACATTAATGTATCAATTCTGTACAATTTACAATTAAATTTTCCATCCCGGAACGGACTAAAGATTACTCAAAATTACCATTTCATCGCGTCTAAGATTATTAATAATTTACCTTCTTATATTCCAGTCTTCGAACGTATAAATTTCATATCTTCGAATTTTCATGATTTCGCAAGTAGTATAAACGAACCATCAAATGAAAATTTCCAGGTGCGAACGAAAGGGAGAAGATGGTGGGACACGGTGCCGCTGTCCCAGCAATTAGAAATACAGCGAGTATTCGGTCGAATGCCAGACACCGAGGAGGACTGGTCACGTTTGCCAGACGGTCCCTCGTGGACCTGGTGGTTGTTGGCGATTTTACCGCTTGGCCCCCAGCTGCAAGTGGGTATTCTCGGTACGACGAGCCTGGAGAAGAGATTAAGAGCCATCGAGAAGACTCTCGATCACATGGAGCAAAGGCAACTGACCGTCGCCCCGGCTCCCTCGGAAGAAACGACCACTTCCTCCAGCATATGTCGAGACGAGGGTGGTCTCACAGACACGACAGTGTCAGTGGTACAACAATCTTAAAGGAAGAAGGCAGGAAAGGTGTCCACACTCGGGGCAATTCAATAATCGTTCAAACGATTTCGCCGTGAGATGGCGATTCAATGGAATTCGACATTCACTCGATGTACAAAGTACTTGGAGAGTAGCTTATTAGCTCGAAGATTACTACTTTTTACTCGGTATTTAATATACACGCATTATATCCGGAAGTGAGGCGAGGAGAACCTGTGGAGCTCGGTCGATCGACAGCCAAGAGTTTTCCATATGCATCGACTACCCTTCCCCCCCTCCCCCCACTTTTCTTCTTATACTTAACCCCGTTAGTTGCGTTTTAATTCGAGTACTGTCTCTCTTTCTCCCTGTACCCGGGTACTCGTTAAACTTACACAGCCAAGCGCCTTATCGACGGAACGATGATGGTGCAATTAGGAAAAACGAGACTAAGATCGAACAAAGAGGTAACATCGGTTGTCATACGAACAGTTATTTCCTTTCATTATTACACTTTTTTTAGGATGAGGGTTAATTCTTTGCGATCCGTAATAATTGCCAAATTATAAACCAACAGAACTTTGTCACAATGAATGTATGTATGAAAAGTGAAAGGAAACGTAAAATTTCTTGAAATTAGTAAAAACAGATGCCTTTGAGGATCCTTGAAATCATTCAGAACAATCTGTCGTGGCTGTTTTATTACTTTCTTCATTACGAAGATTGTAGGAAAACAATTTCTCGCAATTATACTGAAAATTTCAGTTACAGAAGATTGAAAGAAAAATTTATGGCAAAAGATTTGCAAGACGTAGGATCGCAAAGGAATGTAAGGAAATGTAAATGAAGAAATTAATCTCGTCGATTCGAGAGTTATAGCTCGTTATAGCTCGTTGAAAATGGTATTGATCGTTGAGAATCCCGCATGTGATTACTGTAAGCAATATTACAAGCAACCCGTTATTTTACAATCTCTCTATATTTGCATTTCCTGACAAGAGATTGATGACGGGGTCGCTAGACCAGTGCTGCCAACTTGAATGAAACTTCGTCGATTTTTCCTCTTCGTATAAAAATCAATTATATTTAATAATCAGTTATCGTTCCTATATCATACTGGAAGCTGTTATCTCAAAGCTTACAATTCATTTTCTTTGACAGCACTGACTTTTCACTAGTCTCTTTGAAATAGCATAAGTAACACACGATAATTGATACTTTCCGTGCTATACTCGAGACAAGATCATATATTAATTCCAACTAGCGACAATAATTAATCATTTTCTAAACTTACTTAACTTTTAAAGAATCTACTTCTTTGGTCAATGATCAATTTTTTTTTTCTTTCGTCAATTCATCTTTGACCCTTAAGTAGTATAGACACTGAAACTTACACAAGTACTAGACATCTCAAAGAAAGTCTCATAAATCGCTGATATTTCATTAAATAAAAATCAAATTCAATTGTTCTATATATATATTAATAATAAAAAAATTCCAAGTACGACTAAACAATATAGACAGATATATCTTAAAAATGTAAAAGAAAATTATTAAATAATACGAATGGAAATTAATATCAATTTTAGTACTAAAATTTTCAATCAACTAGCACTTAAAGTTATCGCCGATCTTATAAATACACGGAATGTGTCAAATAATACATTAAAAAATTACCATTGACTGATTTTAGTATTGAGTGATAAATGAATTTCGAACGAGCTATAATCATCACCATGTCCTTGATATTCTTACAAAATCAGTTATAGCATTGATAACCGATCGATTCTCAGATACACATTTTATATGCATGACTCGTGTTATTGTCGATAATATTCGAAAATATTTCGTCACAATCATCGATGAATCGACCAAAATAGACGATAGAATGACATATCCGAGACGGAAAGATATCGTTTACCTCGGTAAGGCGTGACGGTGTTCTCCGCGCTGTTGCAATACGCAAATCTGTTCTTCCAGATAATAATTATATATACATACATCTATATGTATACACACACATTTATGTATACACGTACATGATGCATATTATACGTTTGCAATCAGAAGTACGCACGTCGTCGTCGTTTACGCTTATGTTTTTTCG